GGTGGGTGGAGAAAAATATGTAGATAGAATCAGAAAGTTTGGGAGATAGCTATGCTTTTCAATGGGATTGAGGAAATTTCATCATTGTTGACTAAACTTGGATTGTTGAAACTAAACACTAATGCCTATGGGCTATGGCTATTCAAGAACAAAACAAAAAGTTTATATAGTTTTAGGTCTATTGTTCCATTTTAGACTATAACTATTATAGATGATAGGTTTGGAGTTTTAGAGAACGTATATACAAGTTTGGAAGATATCAAAGTCCTATATGTATTTTGTAGACTGAATTGCTATTTTGATTTCAGTGTATTAGGAGTTAGTTCGTATATCTAGACTGATTTTGTGTATCATCATTTCAATGTATCAGTATGAAGATTTGGTTAGTTAGTCTTAACTCGTTGTTTTGTATGGTGCAAACTGTTTTATCCAAGAATATGAGATAAATTCATCCATTCTAAACGTATAATATTTGTTTGATATATCTAACCTTTTTAACAGATTTTATGTTTGATTCAACAAAAATGATTCTACAAATAGCTCAATAATATACCTAGAAATTATGTAAAAATGTCCATAGTCAAGAGGATACGAAAATTAAAAGTTAAAACGTGTAAGGATCGTGTGGGAGTTTGACTTGAAGAAGAGTCTTCGACGTAGACACATATTGAAAATTTATCTCCATTGTATATATATTCCAATATTCAACTCTTTTTTGCCCTTTTCACACGTTAACTTCTTTTTCCATGTACGAAAAACAAATATCAAACACGGATTCGTACCAATTAAAGCGATATGTAACAAAAATTGTGCCATTATATTTACACATACAAAAGATTTGAGTACAAAAACAAATTAAAGATTAAATATGTATTTGTCATGTATACGTGTGTATACCTATGAGTCATTGTCTTTCGAGATCAACTACACGAACTTGGTCAACGCGAGAATGATCGTTCCGGTTCGAAGATCTTTCCCTTGTCAAAATTCTCCGAAACGAATCTAACCGTAAAACCGATGATCCAATTATTTTATCATCCGACGAAGACGCCGCCGCAAAATCAGCACCGTCACCAACTGGACCTTCTCTTGGCTCAGGCTCAAGCATTTGACTTGGCTCAACTTCAGTTCGACAAACAGGACAAGTGGACTGTGTGGTGAGCCACGTGTCAACACAAGCCACGTGGAACACGTGTTTGCAGTTCGGTAACATCCTCGCAGTGTCTTTCTCTTCCAACAAGCTTAGACAAACCGAACACTCCCAAGCCGCCACGTCATCTGCACCGTTGACTCCAACCACGAAGGTAGGAAGAGAAGCAATGACTAGAGTGTCGAGGCCACGTTTGGGCGGCTGAGAAGCGGCGGAGAGGTCTTGGAAGGTTGATCTACGGTGGCGAAGAACGAATCTTGCGTAGAGATGATAAACAAAAACGATGAGAATAATAGTTGAAAATGAAATTATGGTAACGAGTAAGATCTTGCTGTTTCCATTATAAGAATACGTTTGTTGCCAGAACGAACGGTCGGGATCGGATCCTTGATCATCATTTCTGTTTTCAGAGCTCATGATGATGTGTTTTTACAAGAAATGGAATAAGAAGAGAAAGTGGTGTATATATATCTATAAGTTTGATAACAAGTAATGGAGAAATTGAAGAGATCTTGGTTGTGTAATAAATTATAATTTTATGTAAACTTGTTATGGTATTTTTTAGTTATATTTAGCCTTTAGAACATTATAATATGATTTGGTGGGTGGGGGATAATAGGAAGTAGATTAGAGTTACGAGATACTCATAAACACAAAGGGACATTGTTGACTTTACTCGGATTTGTTTTTAGTTTAGAAATATTAATCAAATTTAAGAAATTTAGCAATGTTCAAGAAAACGCTAGGCGCTAAAGCGGACGATGATCTAACATCTAGTGTCTAAAACGTCTAATCGAAACCTAGACGATTCAATAGATGGTCTAAACGTTTTACAAGAATACATAATATATCAAATATTTATAGTAAAATATATATAAAAACATAATTTATGAATAAGAAAATTTATATTGTATTTATATTCATCATTTTATACCAAAATATATAGAATATTATGATTTATATATAAGAAAATTTGTATTATTATATTATTATAATATCATAATATTTTAAACGGTATAAGCGCTAATCACTACGGTTTATAGGGGCGTAGCGCCTAAACGCTGCCTAGGCGGATGCCTAGAANGCTTTTTAAAACATTGGAATTTAGTTAGGATCGCAATTTTGTTTATATGTATACCATTGATACATAACATGTCGACAGTATAAGAGAATTATAAATAAGTGATAATACAAATTTTCCCAGTTAATAACTTTTTTTTTGTCAACTACAAAAATTTTCCAACACTATGACTGGACTTTATGTAAATTTGAGCATAGTCAAGAAAATACGAAATTTTAAAGGTTATAACGTGAGGTTTGGAGTGAGGCTCCGTGTGGGAACCATATAGTTTTGACTTGAAGAAGAGTCTTCGAAATAGACAAACATGTTAATCAATTACAAGTTGTGAATATATTATAATTTCAACTCTCTTTTCTTCTCACACGTTAGTTTCTACTCCTTGTAAGATTTGGTCATTACGTTTTATCTTCAAATTAAAAAGTAATCAAAATATATCCTTTTACTATTAATTGGAAAATACAATTAGTAAAAAACTTAGTTATTTTAATTCTAATTGACTTTCTTAAAAAAACTATGACATAATTTGAAAAGATGATGACATGTTTATGAAAAATGATGGTATAGCTAAAATATCTAATCAATCTTTTTTTAACACAAATTTTATCATTATGACATGGCAATAATGATGATGTGTTTCAATCTCTCGCTTGCCATAAGAAGGAAAAAAAAATTAATAGTGAAAAATATACTTATCATTAGATTTTAAGGGAAAATTGGAAATAAATGATATTTTTTTTTTAGAGTTTGTTCATCTATACCTTATTACTTAAGTTTGGTGATATATATTTTAATTTAGTTAAAATCATATTATGCGTTTAATCATAACTATTATGTTTAATCATATTTTAGGGAATAACTTATAATAATATTTATTGGTTGAATTGGTTGATGAGTTATAAATTTTTAACTGATGTCTCAAGTTCAAACCTTCCTCCTCTCTTTTGTTTTAATACTTTTTATTTAATCAATAATAATAATTTGTTAATACAAACAGCAACCTCATAATCATGAACTTACCGAATCATTAAGAAACCAACACAAATTGGTTTTCAATTTTGATTTATTCCTGAATCGTCAAAAAACCAATATAAATTAGTGTTCTGATTGTTTACAACATTATGTTAATAAATTACAGAATTTGAATACAATTACTCATGCTTTTAATTCAAAACCGTGATAACAATCTTAATAATTTAGTCATATTTTTGAAATTTCACGAATGATTTTTTTAAAAATTTGAAGGCCCTTATGAACCATTAAATCCTTTTAAGAGATAGCTAATTGCGTTTACTCTACGTTTATTTACAAGTTTGCTTTTGTAATGTAAATCTTTAATCACTTATACTTGGTATATGTACACTATGCATTAGTTACGTACACATGATCATGTTCAAGTTCTAAACACATGAAAATAAAGAAAATTCATCAGAAAAACGTTAGAGTATATAAAATTATCAACAATTTACTAATTCTAAAAAAAGCAAAATACGTATTCTAATTTTTCCAGAATGTAATCGAACAATATATTTGATTTCCTAAAATGCTAGA